GTAGTCAAATCATTAAATACATATTATCTTTGAAACTAAAATGCATTTTATCTTAAGATTGTATCACAAAGTATTCATCACCATTTAAATATATACGATTTAGACATTAAGAAATAAATTTAAAATTGCAAAAATTATATCTAGCAGACTTAAAACAGCCTTAAATGTATGTATGTACGTGCTTATCAGTATGTAGTATGTAGGCATTTTAACGCACAGCAATAATCGTTCTTTATGAGTAATGACTGATGACTACTGTAACACAGTAAATCCTCGAAATCGAAAATTTATAACACTGAAAAATTCAAATATGGGAAAATTGTAAAATCGAGAAATCGAAACATAAAAAAATCAAAAAAATAAAAATTGGAAAAGCTAAAATTTAAAAATCGAGAAATTGAACAATCGGTTAATTCAAAAATCGAAACATCGAAAAATTGGGAAATCGAAAAATAAAAAAAAATTGGACAATCGAAAATTTAAAAATTCCGAAAATTGAAAAATTGAAATGTAGAACTGAAAACTCAAAAAATCGAAAAAAATTAATAATTTAAAAATTGAAAAGTTAAAATTGAGAAATCGAAAAACTGAAAAATCACAAAATTGAACGAAATATCAAAAAATTAGGAAATTAAAAAATTGAGAAACAGAAAAGTCAAAAAAGCAGAGTCTAAAAATCGCAAACTTAAAAAATCGAAAAATTGAAAAATCAAAAACCTGAATAATCGAAAAATTGAAGAAGTGAAGAACTGAAAAATCGAAACTTTAGGAAGTGGAGAAATGGGAATATAAAAAAATAGATTAATTGAGAAATCCGAAAACTAAAAATTCAGAAACGTCAAAATTTGAAAAATAAAAAAATATTGAAGAACTGAAAAATCGAAAAATCTAAAATTTAAAACATTGAAAAGTTAAAATATCCTAAAACTGAAAAATGGAGAAATCCAAACATCAAAAAATCAAAAAAAAAAAATCTGAAATTTAATAATCGAAAAGCTGAAAAATCAACGAATCGAGAAGTCGAGAATTTAAAAAATTGGACAATTGAAAAATCGGATAAATCAAAAATCGAAACATCGAAAAATCGAGAAACCGAAAAGCAAAAAATCGAAAAACCAACAAATCGAAAAATCCAAACATTGTAAAATTCAAAAATTGAGACATCGAGAAATCGAAAAATCAAAAGACAAAAAATCGAGAACTCGAAAAATCAAAAAATTGAGAAACCGAAATAGGCCAAAATCGAAAAATCGAAAACTTAAATATGGAAAAACTGATAAAGCGAGAGTTTGAATAATCAAAACATCGAAACATCCGAATCTCAATGAATTGAGATCTCAAAAAATTTAAACATTCGGAAATTTAAAAAATTAAAATATAGAACTGGAAACTCGAGAAACCGAAAAATCTAGAAATTTAAAAATTAAAATATGAAAAAGTTGAAAAATTGAGAAATTCAAATAAAAAACAAAAAACTGAAAATCCAAAAATTAAAAATTGAAAAATCTAAAAGTCGAAAAATGAAAGAATGGAAGTATTGAAAAATATCAAAACTGAAAGAAATATCCAAAAATTGAGAAATCGACAAACCAATAAAGCGAATTCGAAAAATCGAAGAATTGAAGAGCTGAAAAATCGAAACTTTGAGAAGTGGGAAAATCAAAAATAGATTAATTGAGAAATCAGAAAACTGAAAATTTAACGCAAAAATTTGATAAATTGAAAAATTTAAATATTGAAGAATTGAAAAGTCAAAAAATCGAGAAATCGAAAAAACTAAAATTTAAAACAATGAATAATTAAAATATCGCAAAATTGAAGAATCGAGAAATCCAATTCAATTTGAAAAATTGAAAAATCGGGGCATTGAAAAATTGGAAAATCCAGAAATTGAAAAGCTCAAAAGAAAAAAATCGAAAAACCGAGAAATCCAAAAATCGGAACATCGAAAAATTCAAAAACTGAGACTTCGAAAAATTGGAGGATCGAGACATTGAGGAGTCGGAAGCCGAAAAGTAAAGTTAAAAATTGAAAAATTGAGAAATTGAACAATCAAAACAACGAAACATCTGAATTCGATAAATTGAGAAATTAAAAAATTGAATAATCGAAAAATTTTAAAAAAGAAAAACTGTAAAATCAAAAATTAAATTTCAAAAAATCGAAAAATTGAAAAATTGAAATATAGAAGAACTGAAAACTCGAGATATGGAAAAACCTAGAATTTTAAAACATGAAATATTAAAACATCGAAAAGTTTAAAAATTGAGAAATCGAAGCATTAAACAGTCCCAGAATTGAAAAATCTAAAGTTTACAATAAATTGAAAATCCAAAAAGGAAAAAAGCGAGAAATCAAAAAAAATCCATCAATTCAAAAATCGAAAAGTCGAAAAATTGAAATATTGAAAAATCTCATAACTGAAAGAAATACTCAGAAAATTGAGAAATTAAAAAATTGGAAAATTGAGAAATCGAAAATCGAAAAATTGAAGAATTGAAGATGTGAAAAATCGAAACTTTAGGAAATCCAGAAATGGATAAATAAAAAAAATACTTTAGAAATCGGCAAACTGAAAATTTAGAAACGTGAAAATTTGAAAAATTGAAAAATCGAAATATTTAAAAACCGTAAAATTGAAGAGGACAAAAATTGAGAAATCGTATCATTGAAACATCGAAAGATTGGGAAATCGAAAAATAAAAAAATCCAGAAATAGAAAATTTAAAGAATGGAGGAATCGGAAAAGCCCAAAATTGAAATATTGAAAAATTGAGACATTTAAAGTTGAAAAATCGAGAAATCGACAAGACGAAAAATCCCAATAGCGTATTTAGGTATAAATCACAAGATCAGGACTATTCTACTTTTTAAAATTTAAATAACATTATAAATTGGAAAATGTTGATTTTTTTTCCAAACATCTTGACGTCTAAGGTGAAAATTCGACACGGATGCATAAACCGTAAACGGGGCGAAACTACAATTTTACTATTGTAAAATTTGGAGATTGGGTCATTTCATTGTTCGTGACAAATTTTGGAAAGTGTAATTTGATAATACAATTTGAAATGTAAATTTTGTCATTCGGGAACATTATGTATTAAATCGTTAAGATGTTAAAGAACTTTGTTCACTTATTCGTTGTAAAGTCCAATGGTCGAAACGGGTTAGTTCTTCGTAGTGGATGTGTATCAGATCAACTCTAACGAATATCGGTTTATAGATAAATCGCTTAAAGCCGATATTGGCCTGAGTGTGCTTTGGTCTGTAGATCAAACAAGTTCTCAGGCGACGAAAAATTGCATGTGGAGGGAGACTTCAGATTACAAATCGTGCCAAGAAAGACATATTTGGGAGAGATGAATTTTCAGGTGCTTGACTAGCGGTAATTTTAAATTGTTTGCTGTCGTTCGCGAAGTGAAGAACACAATTTCATTAAAATGAAAATTATAAAATTATCATAATCACTATTGGTATTAATTAACACAAAATGGCGCGCAAGTTATCAGTTGATTTCGTTAATAAATTCATAGAAACCTATATGGGATTTTTTCATGCCTTAGAAAATTAAAAAGTAAAAAATACAATAACAAAAATTTTAAAATGCGGTTTACGAAAAATTAGTTGAACTGTGCAAAGAAGAAAATTTTGGAAACGCTGACAAATATGACATCTTAAAAAAAATAACACATGAAGAAGTGCTTTCGGCGTAATATTTTTGATGCTCGCGTGAACAAAATACTCTATGTCAGTGTGCAGTGCGCAAAGAGTTAACTGTGCAGATCTAGCCGAAAATCCGAAAACCAAATCGCTGTGTGTAGGGCCAGCATAACGGAAGTAATAAATCATCCATTCGGTTGAAGAACGTTGGGTCGGTGCACTGATGTCGGTGTTATATCCCGAGAGGGGCCCAATACACCCAATAAAATCGAATAGACAAAATAAAGCTTCAAACATGATTATTTTTATACTAAAATTCTGAAGTTTATAAACTGGACATTTTATTTATTTATTTATTTATTTTATCTTGTTTTCGAACTATAATAAACATTTCAAACAATGTCTGTAACTTATTTTAATGTAAATTATATTCATGTGGTTAACAAAATCAGATGTAATATTAGTGTGATTTTGACATTATTCTAGATTTTATAACAGCAGAACGGCGTATCCTTTTTAAATTTTAAAAGTTACGGAAACTAGTTCAAGAAACAATTAGTTATCTCGTATTTTTGGAACAAAATCTACCAAAATGTCCGATAACAGCAATTGTTTTTCATAGAAACAAACAGTCTTCAAAGCAGCCTTTAACAACTCCATATACAAACATGCCTCTTAAGTTCTTAATGCGTTTTTTTTTTCTCTTGTAATTATTTGTAATGTTAACGCCGAAAGTTTATGGCATTCTGTTATTTACTTTGAACATATATTTTCATTTTGTGTTAATATTTTTGTAACACCACGAATCTAAATTTTATTTAAAATCTTGTTTTACTTTAATCTTGTAAAACTAAACAATTATACCAGTTTAAAAACCCTTGGAAAGTTTCTGTCAGTCTTCAGATATAGTCAAATAAAAATAGGCGTCAAATTCATTTAAATTCAATTCTTTCGTATCACGTTACAACGCGTTGCTTCATATTTTTTATGTCAAGTATATTTTCATATTTTGTACATATATGTTTATACACATTACTGTTTACGGAACAATGTTAATTATGGATTTATGGATAACTCCTCGTATAAGAGCAGAGTGAAGGGTGTTTGCCTTTGCTAATGTTTGATGGCGCCATCTGATTTAGAGTAAAATAAACCTAATACGTTGGCTCACTGTAGTGAAAATGCGCGTTGACGAAAAATTTGTCCCACGCCCCCTGGATTCCTTGTCCTAAAGCTCACTATTTAGGCGAAGTAAAATTTGTATTAGGTTGTCCAACTATAATATACTTAAACAATGGTACAAGACGAACATTGCAAAGTCTAATTTTATTTTTAAGATGTTGGGCGAAACGTCCGAGGCGTCCAAAGTCCACAAAGTCCCAGTCTTAGGCCTCCACCAAACCAAGTCCACCGAAAAAAGCGGCCGGATAATCATCTACGGCGACTCTAACTGCATCGACGCCAGTCACTTAGAAGCGCCGTGCTACTGGATGTTGGACGCCATGTTGGAGTACACCTCCACCTCCCACCTGCCGTCAATATTCCAAGACAACCAGTTGAAAAACTGGGACAACGTAGCCGCCACCGATGTGCCCGTGCGCATGGACGGTAACCGCCTCTACCGCTACTCCAAAGTCCTCGAAGGCAACCTAGGCGAATCGCAAGCCAGACCATTGCCTCAGTGCCCACATCTCGTGTGGGCGCACCCTATCCCCCTGAACGTATCAGCCCCCTCCAACTTGTACCAGTCCCAAAAACTACTGTCTCTGATGGAAGACGTCGCCCTCCCCACCCTCAACATCGAGAACATGATCAAAGGTGAGTCGGCGGCTACGCCGTGGCGGACGGAGCTATCATTAATCTTAGATTAAATTTGACAGACGCGTTGGGGCACGAGAGTAACGAAGACGCTGATTTGTGGATGTGGAGGAACAAGCAGCTGGGACAGGTGGCGTACCAGAACGAGAACTTTAACGTTACTTTGAGCGTGTTGGTGTTGTTGTCGGTGCTCGTGTTTTGTTACTGGGTCAGGTTGTACCGGCCGAAGCCCAAGAAGCGGAAGATTTGCAAGCGGTTGGTGCATTTCATGCAGTGCAGAAGAATGTCGACGGTGTAGGAGAATTTTTGAGCTATGTACAAAGATAGAGTAGGGAAATACGTACTAATTGTTACTGCCACTTTTTTAACGTTGGTGTTTTTGATCAAGTCCGAGGAAAATCCCGTGGATTTTTCCTTTCCGTACTAGTCGTCGCAGATGACAAAAAAGGAACAAAGTTCACACTGTTCGTTCGGCGGAGAGTCGCTTGCTTTTTAGTGCAATGGCACGTGTATATTGTAGATAATCATGTAGATTCCAGTTATGTATAGTTATTTATTGAGGATGGATGCGCGATTTCGAGCAGTTTTGTATGCATGACCTCGTATTGTAATAAGATAGATTCAGAAGTATATTTTGAGTAAGGAACTTTTGTAGAGTTATTATTAAAGTACTTACTGACGGAATTTGGCGTTTGTCGATTATGAAGAATCCCGCTGCTGATACTTCAGGGGGCAACACGCTGATTTGCAACATGAAGGTTTGTATCTGGAGAGAAAAGTACCTTGAAATGATTATTGCACGAGGTAAGTAGAATTTTGTAAATTAGAACTTCCAAAAACTGACAGGTGCCGGAAAGTGTAAGAAGGCATTCGGAAGCCTTCGCCAGGCCTCGATAGTCGTCGTGAGGTTTACCGAAACCTTCCGAAGTGCTAATTGTAGAAGTTTCCCACGTTCGATTTTCGCGAAGCGTGGGAGAAAACAGCATTTTCAGTGTCGAATTGTGCCGCCGGATAACGGGAAACCCCGAAACAGTCTACCTTTTTTTTATACAGTTATTTACATTTTTCACATATCCGATATTATTAATAAAACAAGCTGGTATTTTTCATTAATAAATAAACCAAAAAAAAAACAGTTAATGAGATATTTTTAAATTATAAGTAAAAACAACAAAAGAAAAATCCATTAAAGCATAACCAACTAAACACTTGCATATAAGTGCATATAAGTAAGCTCGTAATGTTTCAAAATTTTGATCTTTTTTTTTTATAAAAGTTGGTCATCAGTATTTGCTAAGATAAAACTGATTTTGGCAAATGACGTAGCCTCTAAGAAAAGAGAGGGCGGGTGGGCGGGGCTAGTACCTGCTCTTGATTAGAAACTCAGCCGGAAATAATACAATAATGCATTACCTGAAGTGTCATTCGTCCCCTGAACACTTGAATTTTACTCCGTTTGTTTTTCGTCTGTCCATTTATTTTCCAAGAATTAAATTTGTATTCACATTGGAAAAAGGTATGTTAGATAAAACATAGATTTTCAATCTAATAAATTTTAGTTTTATTTTTTAGATTTACAACTTATACGCTCTTTCTACATTCCAAAATGTAGAGACCATGGAATAAAGTGGATGCTCTTCAACAGCGAGATGGTAGAATTTATTGAAAATGAATGAATTTTTCAACTACAGCAAGATGGAAAGGCGAAGCGGCTGTAGAAGAGGAAGTTACAGAACACCACACAGGAAGTGAGGAGCAACAATTTGAAAAACGAAATCATTTGCCACCGGAAGCTAAACAAATTATTCTGAACGTTTACGAATATAAAACCAAAATTCCAGAATCAATAAAATAATAAAAATTTGATAACTTTATTAATATAATATTTAATGATAAGTGTGTGTTTTTTATTATATATTATTATAAATTCAAGTACGGTCCTGTATTACTCAAGACAGAGGGCTGAGTAAGTAGACAAGTTTAAAATGATGGGTGGTTAAGCCCTCATAAAAATTTGTGGAATAGACGCCTGAAACAGATTGAGTTTAGTAAAGGACGTTCTTTTAATGCATTTTTTTTAATGTATCACCCCATTTTTAAGGTTATTTTTTTAAAAGTTGTGGTTTTCTAAAAATTTTCCAGCAGATCTATATTGAAACCGCTGACTTTGAGATTTTTACAAGTAAATGAAAAAACTTCTTCAACGTCAAAAACGTTCAAGCATTATTTTCTAATCTTAGCAATTGCAGTTTTAATATTTAAATATTCAAATAAATAAAAATTGTTGCTATATAAAGAAAAGTCAATTTCCATGGAGTGTCCGAAAAGCCATTTTTACCAATTCTTTAATAACTAGAAAACGGCAAAACAATTTCAAAAGATTTCCAAAAAATGTTAAAATGGGTTTTGTTTGGGTAGGTAGAACTGTTGGCTTATAGAGAATTTTCTGTAAATAAGAACCTGAAGCAATTTTTACCAAAAATTTTTAAATAAATACGAAAAAATATTTTTTTATCAATTCTTAAAAGCTGCAGAAAACGGAAAAAATAATACCAAAAAATTTTCCAAAAATATATGTTAAAACTACCTCCATTCCAAAAGAAAAAAAAATCAATCATACGGAATTTTCTGTAGATTTTCAACTTGAAGTTTTTTTTGGCAATTCTTAATTGCCGAAAATAGGAAAACACTTCCAAAAAATTTACAAAAAATGTTAAAACGGGTTTTTTCTTTATTTTCTAATAGAGCTATTAAAGCACCCAAATGACGTCAAAACGGTTCGTTAATAGCGGAAAGGGGTTTTGAAATAGATCTGGTGTAATTTAGATCGGTAAGATTGGTGACCATGACGAGAAATGTCGGGTGAATGTCAGCGGCAAATGTCAAATTAAAATTTCCCGTATTTCGGGAGGCGTAAGGACTTCACTAACTTCTTCACAAGACATTTGTGGCACTCATCCTTTATATAACTCGCTTCGTTCGTTCTTTAATATACATTATTTGTATTGGAAAAACTGCTGGTTTATAGAGAATTTTCTGTAAATTAAAAATCGGAAGCAGTTTTCCCCAAAAATTTTCAAATAAATGCGAAAACGGGCAAAATAATTTCCAAAACTTTTTTAAAAAATCTTAAAAATTTCCATGGAGTGTCCGAAAAAATGTTCGACGTATCAAAAATTGTCAAAGTTTTCAAAATCCTACGTTTAAAATGTTCGCAATTAATTTTAAGTCCCCTGGTGTCTTATTTTCGGATAGATTTAAAAGAAGTGTTTTGTTGCTGGATGAACTTGAAAAAATCTTTTGAGCTTTTATTTATTATTAGTGTTTTACTTTTTACGAATTTGAAAAAGTCTTGAGTGCCACAGTGTTTCGGTACCCATGGTACATTATTTTGGTAGCCCAAGGAGATTTTTTTTTGTAAATTATTTAAAAGGCTTTTGGAGACTTTGGTGTTCTATTTTTGGAAAATTCTGAGCTGACATGTTTTTAACTTAATTTTCGGATCCCGTTTTTTTATTTGAAAATGTAAAACAATCTTGAGGTTCTACACGTGTAATACACATCGTTTTTTCGGACACTCAAATACATATATCGAACTAGAATTTTTAAAGCGAAGTACAAAAATTTTAAAAACGAAAAACACGAAAATCAAATCGCTCTTTTGGATATCTGTGGCAATAAAATTTAAAGAAAGTTAACAGAGATTTCAAAATTGTGCTATTGTGCTCGCCTGATGAGACCTATTTGCTAAAGTCAATTTTTTTACCAATTCTTTAATAACTGTATAAAAGTGGAAAACAATTTCAAAAAATTTCCAAAAAATGTTAAAATGAGTTTTGTTTGAGTAGGTGGAACTGTTGGCTTATAGAGAATTTTCTGTAAATAAGAACCTGAAGCAATTTGTACCAAAAATTTTGAAATAAATACGAAAAACTATTTTTTTCATCAATTCTTAAATAACTGCAAAGAACGGAAAAAATAATACCCAAAAATTTTCCAAAAATATATGTTAAAACTGCCTTCATTCCAAAAGAAAAAAATTACTCAATCATACGGAATTTTCTGTAGATTGTCAACTTTTTGTTTTTTTTTTTGGCAATTGTTAATAACTGCGGAAAACAGGAAAACAATTCCAAAAAATTTACAAAAAATGTTAAAACGGGTTTTATTTGAATTGGAAAAACTGTTGGTTTATAGAGAATTTTCTGTAAATAAAAAATTTGACGCAGTTTTCAAATAAACGCGAAAACAGGCAAAATAATTTCTAAAACTTTTTCAAAAAATCTAAAAAAATTTCCATGAAGTGTCCGAAAACACTGTTCTGGTGTTTTATTTTCGGATAAATTTAAAGGAATCTGGTGTTTTGTTGCTGGATGAATTTGAAAAAATCTTTTGAGTTTTTATTATTAGTGTTTTACTTTTTACGAATTTGAAAAAGTCTTGAGTGCCGCAGTGTTTGGGTACCCATGGTACATTATTTTGGTAGCCCACGCAGATTTTTTTTTTGTAAATTATTTAAAAGGATTTTGAGGACTTTGGTGTTCTACTTTAGGAAAATTCTGACCTGACCTATCTTTGAGTTAATTTTGTGACCCTTTTTTTTTTTGAAAAATTTAAAACAATCTTGAGGTTCTAGGTATTCCTGTTTGGAAAGAATTTGAAAGTGCTGTGGAGCCTTCAGTGCCTATTCTTATAATGTATAATTTAATTAAATTTCTTAGAAGATATGTCATTTGCCAAAAACGGTCTTATTTTAGCAGGTACTAGCCCCGCCTACCCACCCTCTCTTTTCTGAGAGGATATCTCATTTGTCAAAATCAGTCTTATCTTAGTAGCTACTAACCCCGCCCACCCACCCTCTCTTTTCTTACAGAGTATGTCATTTGCCCGCCCAGTCGCCCTTTATTTTCTTAGAGATTAGTACTTGCTAAGATAAATCTTATTTTGGCAAGTATCATATCTTTTGAGAAAATAGGGGCGGGTGGGCGGGGCTAGTACTTGCTTACATAAGTCTTATTTTGGCAGATGACATATCTTATGAGAAAATGGGGGATGGGTGGGCGGGGCTAGTACTTGGTAAGATAAGACTGACTCTGTCCCTATTAAACTTGTAACAGCTTGTTAAATTTAAAAGGCTATAGTTGATGAAATAGAATGTATAATAAAAAATGTTTGCTGAAATAAGTCTTTTCTTAGCAAGCACTAGCCCCACCCACCCACCCTTTACTTTCTTACAGGGTATGTCATTTGCCAAAATCAGTCTTATCTTAACAAGTACTAGCCCCTCCCACCCGCCCCCTTTTTTCTCATAGGATATGTCATCTGCCAAAATAAGACTTATGTAAGCAAGTACTAGCCCCGCTCACTCGCCCTTTATTTTCTTATAGATTAGTACTTGCTAGTACTTGCTAAGATAAATTTTATTTTGGCAAATAACATATCCTCTGAGAAAATAGGGGCGGGTGGGTGGGGCTAGTACTTGCTGAGATAAGATTGATTTTGGCAAACGTCATATTCTCTGAGAAAACAGAGGGCGGGTGGGCGGGGCTAGTCCTTGTAAAGGTAAAACTTATTTTGGCAAATGACAAACTCTGAAAAAATAGGGGGTGGGTGGGCGGGTCTAGTACTTGCTAAGATAAGACTGACTTTGCCCTTATTAAACTTGTAAAAACTCGTTAAATTTTAAAAGCTATAGTTGATGAAATAGGATGTACAATAAGAAATGATACTTTCAGCGTTGTTGATCGTCCAAAAGGACAATATGGC